GGATGTAAACAAACCTTAATTTCCTGGGGTTTTTTTTTTTTAGGGGATTAGCCCACCTGGGCATAAGTCACTGACCCACGTTTGGGCGTGATGGGCCAAAATTTAATACTCCTGCTATAATAATGATAATTTCCAAGAAAAAAAAAAAAACTGCCTATGTACCTGTTGGAGAAAGTAAAATTGTTTTGGACCACGGGAGTTTGCGGAGCACAGAATGCCGGACTAGAGAGTTACAACCTGTAGTTGTTTGTGGACTTGAAATTGTTAACCTTTGTGGACTTTGAATAATTGATAATGTTTGTCGACTTTGAATTTGTTTTGCCTTTTGTGGACCGGGAAATTTATGCGTCGGGTCCGAGGACCGGCAATAATTATCGACGCACGCGAACTCGGAATAACGTATTACGCCGGTGGAATCGGACTAATTTTTTATCCCGTGTGGACTTTGAATAATTGATGATGTTTGTGGTCTTTGAATAATTGTGTATTTTGTGTGGAATTGGAATAATTGTTATCCTTTGAAAATGTCTCATTGTTTGTGTATTTTGAATAATTGTCAATTTGTGTGGACTTTGAATAATTTATTGTTTGTGTACTTGGAATAATGATCAATTTGTGTGGACTTTGAATATTTTGTGGAGTTTGAATAATTTATTGTTTGTGTACTTGGAATAATGTTCAATTTATGTGGACTGAATAATTAATGATGTTTGTGGATATTTGAATATTTTGTTATGTTGTGTGGACTTTGAATATTTTGTGGAGTTTGAATAATTTATTGTTTGTGTACTTGGAATAATGTTCAATTTATGTGGACTTTGAATAATGTATAATGATTGTGGACTTTGAATATCCTTTGTGGACTTAGTATTAATTGATCCTGTGTGGACTTTGAATAATTAATATGTATGTGGACTTGTTATTATTTTATTGTTTGTGGACTTTGAATAATTGTCAATGTAGACTGAGTATTTTTGTCATGTTGTGTGGACTTAGAATAATTTGTATCCTCTGTGGACTTGTAATAATTGTTAATGTATGTGGACTTGGAATAATTTATGATGTTTGTGGAGTTAGTATTATTTTAGCCTTTGTGTATGTGTAGTTGGTATGTTTTTTCTGTTTGTGGACTTTGAATATTTTGTGGATATAGAAAATGTTTTATCGTCTGTGGCTCCGTATTAATGTATTACGTCCGTGGACCGGGAATAATTTTGTATCGTGTGTGGACTTGTAAAAATTTTCATTGTTTGTGGACTTAGATAAATGTTCATATGTTGTGGAGTTAGTATTATTTTAACTTGTGTGGACTTGTAATAATTTTCAATGTTTGTGGACTTAGAATAACTTTTAATGTATGTGGACTTTGAATAATTGTCATCGATTGTGGACTTATTATATTTTTGATGTTTGTGGACTTTGTATTATTTTATTGTTTGTTGACTTTAGAAATTTTGTATTTGGAAATATTGTCATTGTTTGTGGATTTAGAAAAATTGTCATATGTTGTGGAGTTAGTATTATTTTATCCTGTGGACTTGTAATAATTTTCAATGTGTGTGGACTTGGTATATTTTTCATATTTTGTGCTTTGAAATATTGTCTTTGTGGACTTAGTTTTTTTTCCTCTTGTGGAATTGGACTAATTTATGTTTGTGGACTTGGAAAATTTTTTTATCCTTTATGGACTTAGAAAATTTTCATGTTGTGTGGACTTAGAAAATTTTCATGGTGTGTGGACTTAGTATTTTTTTGTTGTTGTGTGGACTTAGTTTTTTTTCCTGTGTTGTGGACTTAGAAAATTTTCCATCCTTTATGGACTTATAATAATTTCATGTGTGGAATTAGTATTTTTTGTTGTTGTGTGGACTTAGTTTTTTCATGTGTTGTGGACTTAGAAAATTTTTCGTTGTTTGTGGACATAGAATAATTTTCATGTTGTGGACTTAGTTTTTTTTTTCATGTCATGTGGACTTAGAAAATTTTTCATCCTTTGTGGACTTAGAAAATTTTTCATGGTGTGTGGACTTAGTATTTTTTGTGGTGTTGACTAAGTATGTTTTTGGTTGTGTGGACTTAGTAAATTTTTCGTTCTTTGTGGACATAGAAAAATTTTCATGTTGTGGACTTAGAAAAATTTCATGGTGTGTGGACTTAGTTGTTTTTGCTGTGTTGTGGACTTAGAATATTTTCATGTGTGTACTTGGGTTTTTTTCATGTCATGTGGACTTAACAAATTTTTCGTTCTTTGTGGACTTAGAAATTTTTCATGTTGTGTGGACTTGGTATTTTTTTTTTTGTGGACTTAGTATTTTTTCATGTGTTGTGGACTTAGTATTTTTTTGTTGTTGTGTGGACTTAGTTTTTTTTCCTGTGTTGTGGACTTAGAAAATTTTCCATCCTTTATGGACTTATAATAATTTCATGTGTGGAATTAGTATTTTTTGTTGTTGTGTGGACTTAGAAAATTTTTCGTTGTTTGTGGACATAGAATAATTTTCATGTTGTGGACTTAGTTTTTTTTCATGTCATGTGGACTTAGAAAATTTTTCATCCTTTGTGGACTTAGAAAATTTTTCATGGTGTGTGGACTTAGTATTTTTTGTGGTGTTGACTAAGTATGTTTTTGGTTGTGTGGACTTAGTAAATTTTTCGTTTTTTTGTGGACATAGAAAAATTTTCATGTTGTGGACTTAGTTTTTTTTCATGTGTTGTGGACTTAGTATTTTTTTCATGTGTTGTGGACTTAGTATTTTTTTGTTGTGTGGACTTAGTATTTTTTTGTTGTGTGGACTTAGTATTTTTTCATGTGTTGTGGACTTAGTATTTTTTTCATGTGTTGTGGACTTAGTATTTTTTTGTTGTGTGGACTTAGTATTTTTTTGTTGTGTGGACTTAGTATTTTTTTCATGTGTTGTGGACTTAGTATTTTTTTGTTGTGTGGACTTAGTTTTTTTTTGTTTGTGGACTTAGTTTTTTTTTTTGTGTGGACTTAGTATTTTTTTCATGTGTTGTGGACTTAGTATTTTTTTGTTGTGTGGACTTAGTATTTTTTTCATGTGTTGTGGACTTAGTATTTTTTTGTTGTGTGGACTTAGTATTTTTTTCATGTGTTGTGGACTTAGTATTTTTTTGTTGTGTTGTGGACTTAGAAATTTTTTCATTATTTGTGGACTGTATATTTTTCATGTATGTGGACATAGAAATATTTTGAGCATAATAAAAGAAAGTATATAATCAATGTCTTTATTTTTCCTAAGTTAACATACAGCCATATTGGATTTGGAGAAGCAAAGCATGATGTTGTAGAAAACGGGAGTTTTGGAGCCAGAGAAAATTTCCCATTTTCTTTGATGGTTTCCCATTTTCTCCAAGTGAACAGAAAACGGGATTTTTTTCAAATTCACTATCTTATTATTAAGATAGGCTCCAGCCATCCCTTCTTTTTTTTTATAAGTTTTTTAGAGTGTTTATTGAGCAACAAAGGTGATTTTTCAACTGAAAGAAAGTAGTTATTCCAAATTAGTTTTAAGTTAGTATTTTAATGTTTTGTTTGCAAACTGACTTTAACCATATTGTCAATACTGACAATTATGTCAGTACCAACAATAGGTTTAGTCATAAAGCTCTCGACACAGATATCGTGTCTATGGACTAGTCGTGTGATAGATCGACAATGTCCGAGCTTTTGTTTGCAAACAAACATCAAAACACCAACTCACAACCAATGAGGAATAACTACTCTCTCTCAGTTGAAAAATCACCTTTGTTGCTCAATAAACACTCTAAACAACACCACATGTGTTCCCGTGTACCTGTCAGAAAAGGGAGAAACAAAAACAGCATTACAAGTCAAATTATTCAACACATTAACTAATCTCAATGATGCATTTCAACTACTTTACTTATAATCATATTATCTCAATAATGCATTTCAACATCTTTACTTTACTTTACATATAATCATATTACATCAACTAATCTCAATGATGCTTTTCAACATCTTTACTTTACTTTACATATAATCATATTACATCAACTAAACTCAATGATGCTTTACTTTACTTTACATACAATCATATTACATTAACTAATCTCAATAATGCATTTCAACATCTTTACTTTACTTTACTTAATATATAATCATTACATTAACTAATCTCAATTCTTCACACATTACCTTCATCTTCTCGTGTCGCTCCACTTCTTCTGGTGCCTAATCACTTGTCGTCATCTTCTTCTACCTTATGTGTCACTCAAAATACACATCAGGCAATAAAGAAAACACAAAATTCAACTCAAAGACATATATTCTATACACTTAGCAATATAATACAGTACAGTACATCATCTTCATAGGGACAACACCTATGCATTCACAGAACATCATCTTCTCGGCTCCATACACCCCGGTCACAAGGACAACGGCTAGAAGTTCACGCGACATCGTCACAGACACGACAGCTATACATTCACTGGACACCAGCTTCTCGGCTCCATACACCCCGGTCAATGGGACGACGGCTATACGTTCACAGGACATCATCTTCTCCCCTCACTGGTACCACGGCTATTAGGTTCACAGGACATCTTCTCGGCTCCAGTCACGACACCTATACCTTCACAGGACATCATCCTCTCGGCTCCATACACCCCGGTCACTGGAACACAGGACATCTTCTCTGCTCCAGTCACAGGGACAACAGCTATACATTCACTGTACACCATCTTCTCGGCTCCATACACCCCGGTCACTAGAACCACGGCTATTAGGTTCACATGACATCTTCTCGGCTCCAGTCACAGGGACGACGGCTAGAAGTTCACGGGACATCTTCTCGGCTCCAGTCACAGAGACGACAGCTATACATTCACTGGACACCATATTCTCGCCTCCATACACCCCGGTCACAAGGACAACGGCTAGAAGTTCACGGGACATCTTCTCGGCTCCAGTCACAGAGACGACACCTATACATTCACTGGACACCATCTTCTCGGCTCCATACACCCCAGTCAATGGGACGACGGCTATACGTTCACAGGACGCCTTCTTCTCGGCTCCAGTCAAAGGGACGACGACTATACTTTCACAGGACATCATCTTCTCGGCTCCTTACAGCGACTTCGCCCCGTCGCTTCAATCTGAAACCGACAAAACACAACAATGGAGGTCAACTCGTAATGGCCTTTTCTATCAAATGCAGTCCACCCGTCGGCTTCGTCACTCGGGAAACTCTTCGTGGTGCTCTTCTTATACTACCTACAATATACACGTCTAGGCAAACTATCATTTCCCATTGCTCAAATAATTCACCCACAAAAACACTATATCTTGGTATGGAGCAACCTCCGCGGTTATTCCCGGCTCCGTCGTCGACGTGCCTCTTCCTTTCTTCGTAACCGCCGAGATAAATGCACAATACTTGGTCGTCTCCTTCCTTACTCTTACCACGAGGAACATACCCTACACCACTCGCTCCACTGAAAAAAACAAAAACACCCATAATAAACACCATTCCAAAAAGGTTCATGCATCCACTCTCCTTCACGATCAACAACACTCTCTTAGGCATATCTACCAAAACCAAATTGCTTCCTTTTAAACCGCTACAAATACCAACTTCTTACCAACATACACATACTCTACTACAAACCATTCACCAAGGCTAGTACCAATCATTACACAGCCTCCAGTGTGTAACAACAATACTAGCCTGCTACCAACTAACTTCAATACAATTACAATACATACCCACAACAAATTCACATTTCATCTTAACCAAATTCAAACAAACGCTTCCTCTTTAACACAAACAATCGGCTCCTTACCCTTTCGCTCCCATCTCCGTCGCCGAATAACCACTGGCTCTTCCACCATCACTGCCGCTTACCATTCCAAAAACTCCAATCCGGCCTAAAAAACAAACACATCAACACATTAGTTCCCCCACAACAATTCATAAACCTTTCACGCCCTAAACCGCTCCAACGCCACTCTACACTAGTCGCAACATTTCTATTACCTGCTACATCCATTCTCCACATATACTAATCCAAAACTAACCTACAATTTACATCACTATACACGTCTTCCAACAATTACATTATACTCAATTTCTTACAACTAAATTCACTATGACCCTAAACTATCACAAACAATTCACGATGCACCACACCACACTACTTATCTTAAACAACTGCCGCCACTGCTGCTACCGCCGCCGCCCCGGCTGCTGCTGCCGCCGCTGCCGCTGCTGCTCCCGCCGCCGCCGCCGCTGCTGCTGCTTCTTCTCCTCAACACAGTCCATTGCACAGCCCCATACATGTAGTAGTCCACCCTTTCTGCAACCTGGTTACGGCACTACCCACCACCACTCCATCCTCAAACCTGAAAAACAGAAACCTTTCACACAACCTCCATAATGCACCATACTTATTTCTCCCAACTTTAAACATCAATGGGTACTGCTACCCGAAACAACTCATATATCACTTGCCTCTTATAACAAACTTTACCTACAACTTTCAAATACAATAACAACTCGCCTTCAAATAATACATTGCACAATTTCACATCACCGTATCCAGTGTCGACGCGCTCCTCTCCACAATTCGCCCATATTCCTCCACCACCAACATGAAAACAAAAAACAATACGTCAATGTTACAAATGCTCTACTCTTCAAATTATAACAAAGTATACGTACAACTTCAATAACAATACTTACACCTTTACTGCCTCTCATTTCCAACATTCAGTCGAGCGTTAATGTCCCTCTGGATTATCACACACCAATCACGTCTTCTGGACTTCAACAACTACCGCCGCTGCTGCTACTGCTTCTTCTCCTCCTCCTCCTCAACACAGTCCATTGCACAGCCCCATACATATAGTAGTCCACCCTTTCTCCAACCTGGTTACGGCACTACCCACCACCACTCCATCCTCAAACCTGAAAAACATAAACCTTTCACACAACCTCCATAATGCACCATGCTTATTTCTCCCAACTTTAAACATCACTGGGTACTGCTACCCGAAAAAACTCATATATCACTTGCCTCTTATAACAAACTTTACCTACAACTTTCAAATACAATAACAACTCACCTTCAAATAATACATTGCACAATTTCACATCACCGTATCCAGTGTCGACGCGCTCCTCTCCACAATTCGCCCATATTCCTCCACCACCAACATGAAAACAAAAAACAATACGTCAATGTTACAAATGCTCTACTCTTCAAATTATAACAAAGTATACGTACAACTTCAATAAACAATACTTACACATTTACTGCCTCTCATTTCCAAAATTCAGTCGAGCATTAATGTCCCTCTGGATTATCACACACCAATCACGTCTTCTGGACTGCAACAACTCCTGTACAAAACAATTACCACATCAATAACCACGACCAAAGTCCCTCTTCATTTTCATATCAAACACACCCCACCTTCAACCACTTAACAGTATACATTACCTTTTAGCACATGCTGCACACGGCGACTGGTTACAACACTTGGCTCCTTTCCAACATCGACTTCTCCCCCACCTCTGGATGGCGACCATACTTCCTCTTGGTTAGTCGATACAGTCAACACAACACTATATTCTACTCTAACATTTTTCGATTTCTCATTATCACACTTTTTGAGAATGGGAGGGGCCGAGGGGCATCCCCCCTCACCCCCCTTATTCCCATGCAAGGTGAAGGGCACAAGCGCCTACACCGCCCAACTAGGCAGCATGCCAACTTTGTGCTTGCCTAAAGGATCATAGCATTTTATGTCAAGGCATACAACCCTCCAGTCTTTAACATTTTGTCGGCTAGCTCCGACGACTTTTACCCAGATACGAATTCGCAACTTTCGATTTACAACTGGTACCTACTTTACTGCTAGGTCAACAGGGACACAGGGGGTCTAGGAAGTGTGTCCAACCCACTTTCCACCGGCCCGGGAATCGAACCCGAGACGTCCCGCTTGCGAGGCGAGAGCGGTACCGCTCTACCGCCGGCACCCCCACTTCGGCTGTGACCCCTTGTGAGGCGGGCGTCAGTCAGCTATGGGTACGGTTCCTCGACTAAGTAGTGCCCTTTCACAGGTTTATACACCTCACTTATGTCTCCCCGTGCCCATCTCTAGGCACTTTTGGGTGCACTAGAGAACCAAGGACCACCACCAGACCCCAACCTGAAAAAAAAAAGGTCATTCGTTATCCATTTATCAAATCTTTCTCACTACTATATAATAAACTCAACTTATCAAAACTCATTTACATTTTCTTTAATCTACAGCCGAGGCACAAAATTCAACATTTTAAACTTAACATTACCAAACTCAAGCCACAATCATTTATTTTAATGTCAACTTTTAACATTTCTATTGCTCTACGGCACAAGACCAAAAATCAATTGAAAATTTAACAACTCTTTTACAAACTTCAACGTCACTTACCCTCACTATTCCCCTAGTCTACCTCAAAAAAATACCGGCTCCTTCCACCTCCAACAACCTGAAAAAAGCATTTATTACCTAACCAATAAAACTTACACTAATTCTCAATACAAATATATTAGCCATGAACCACTTCTCAAATTACAGCTACAACTTCTCTTTAGTCAAACACAACTACACCTTCCATTTTAAATACCATATTGACGAATTCCTCACCGCAAGTGTAGACGCGCTAGCCATCACCTACAAACTTAGGCCACGTTCTCTTCTCTATTCCACAGTATAAGCCTTCCGTACACCTGCAATAAAAGGCATCAACCTTCAAAATTTACAACAAACTAGTCAAAATTAATGAAACAAAAGCACATACACAATAACAATTAAGAACACTCTAGTCTGCGTATAAAACTAACACATGAACCATAACAGACGACAACAAAATACGACCATAAACACACACAACCGAGAGTGTAGTACCATTATATAGCCTCCAGTATATAACAGCACAAACACAACACCCATTCAACAATTTCATTCACCTAAACTCCAAATTCGGGGTCTACCTCTGTGCCGGTCACGTCTCTGCAAAAATCAACCTTTCCCACGCTAGTTGGCTCCAACTTAACGCTCATGCGGCAGCCCACTGCGACTTCCTTGCGGTTGCTATTTTCTGAAAATAAACTACTACAAAACTCTCATTAATACAATTTTCTTCACTATTTAACCAAATATACCAACATATCTTAACTTCCCATGACTTTAAATAACAAGGATTATTTTATTACAAAAAAATTCTACCTTTCCTTTAATCATTTTCCTAAAAGTCATACAACCCAAAACACATCCACCAATCACAATCACCTTTACATACAGCCTAAGTATTCACAAGTAAAATTGCGAGCACGAGACCCAGGGTCAGTTAGATGCATCTTTAGCTGACTACATTCAAAACGTTCGACTTTACTTTTATCCTCTTCGCCACTGATCGGCTTGTTAGCCGCTTGGTCACGTCTCTTTTCCTTTATATTCTTCACCAAAAGGTCAGCTCGCTAGCTGCCCGGGCAATCGGTCACGCACTGTTGTCAAATACTGGGCATGCACCGGCTCCTCAATGTACCTGAACCCGCTCCAGTGTTGGTCAAGTCTTCTCTTGAAAGAGCTCACACTCGATGCCGTCACAACACTCTGGTAGATTGTTCCAACAATTTACAACCCTCACTCCGAAAAAGTTTGCCCTCACGATTTTCCGGCTTCTTCAATCTTGAGCTGTGACCCCTTGTGGGGCGAACGTCCGCCAGCTCCAAGCAAGGACACTTAACTGAGTAGTGCCCCCTGAGATGCTTATAAAGCTCAACTAGGTCCCCCCTTGCCCGTCTGTAGTATAAGCTAGGCAAGTTCAGGCGCTCCAATCTCTCAGGCGGCTAGCGAGCCGACCTTTTCGTGAAAAATATAAAGGAAAAGAGACGTGACCGATCGCCCAAGCGGCTAACAAGCCGATCAGTGGCGAAGAGGATAAAAGTAAAGTCGAACGTTTTGAATGTAGTCAGCTAAACATGCATCGACCCGACCCTGGGTCTCGTGCTTTATGCCGCTTATTTTTCATACACTCAAAGCAGGCTACCAATTGGCTCACCCATATCAATATTCTTATTCATGTCAAATCCCTATCTTTACCTCGCTAAACAAACTAAACATCAATAGTCACTTACCTGCCCTCACCCCTCGTTTACCAAAACGTCGCTGTCGGCACATTTATTTTCTTTTCCACTTCACTATATGCACAACACCTCCAATCTCCTACTATACGCATCAAAACACACACGTATGGTTTACTACTTGGCACACAAATGCTGCATCTTTTTTCTTTCTCACTCATTTTCAAGATCCACCACGATCACTATGAACAGTCCAAGCTCAAAGCACACATAAATGCTGCAGCTTTCTTTTCTTCTCACTCATTTTCAAGATTCCACCACCATCACTTAAAACTACATTGAACTTCGCATCCAAACAACTTCAGATACAGACAATATTTTAATAATGAACTTGCTACACAATCTACATGCTCATGAATTCACTTTCCATCACTCACCAACGAAATAACACGATTTCTTGCAAAAACACAACATATTCCGCCAATTTCACAAACTACACTATTAACACTTCAACTTTTTAAACCACTTAACACTTAAAGGATTTCATTTCAATTAAACTACCGTCTTCAATTTAAATATCCTCTACTCTAACAACTTGAATTAAGAACAACTTCAAAATCTCCCTAGTTAACCACAGACAGAAATCTTAAATACGTTTCACAGGCCACAAGTCAAATACTTCTTTAACTTGTATTAAAAACCACAGAAAATGTTTAAGAAAACATTTCCAATGCGGAACACTAACAGCCAAACAAACAAATGTCTAAACACTACTTTATATACTACACTTTACTTTTCTTTTCTTTTCTTCTTCACAAACTAAAGGAGTTCTAACACCAGACACAAGGATCGGATTGTAACTGATGCATCCTTGCCGGTTCGACCTTTAAATACCCCAACCTTCCCGCCGAACCGTCAAATTATTTGCTCTCTGCTCACCGAACCACCTCATTCGAATAACTTCAAATTTTCAACATTTTATTCTTCACCTTGGCGTCAAAGTACAAGGATACATTAAAAAAAACTCTGGTGTCATCTTCAACATTATTCAAACAAACTCCAACAAAGTCCATTTCATGAAATATAGCCAAAATATATGAGCTCAAAACGGCCAGATTCTTGCTTTCCGGGACCCCGAACTTCTTCTCCGGTAAACACCGTCACAACCAAACGAGGGGATTATCCACATCAACTGCTCTTGGGTATTTGCACCATAGACATAGGTCGCAGTATCGTAGTCAATAAAGTTTCCTTCCAAGATGGAAATAACAACATACCCTACAATCAGTTACTCACATCTCCATTCCTTGGTGAGAACTATCAACGGTGAATTTAATAAAGTCAAGACCCCGAGTAATGTTTTCCCATTACCGTCAAATACTTTACGTACAGTATATATTTATAACTTAATTAAAACAATGTAAAACAAAAACATCGTGGTAACATTCTATACTATGCCATCTTACGTGTACTAATCCACGTGCTACTAAATGTTATATAATAATTCCTTGACATAAATGTACTCTATATTATCAGGTACCACATTTACTCTCTAAGGTACGTGTGAGCTGAGACCTGACCCAATAAATCATTATCAAATTGTGATAGTAAATATCTCTCTAACCATTGCTATGTCAACTAGAAACTGGTCCATGTAACTGACGAGTATATTATAGTCATCCGCAGAGGACAAACAGCACGAGTACGAGTACGAAATCTTTAGTTAAGAGGTGAAAGACAATTATTAGGGGTTGAGGGAAAAGTGGTGAAACTGAAATACAGTAGGAGTAGAAAGAATCTTTCTTATTGGTGTTTTATCTTTGTTCTGCTCCCTTGGGTCGTCAGACCTTTGTATTAATATTGCTCTATTTATATAATGCTGCTTATTATTATTATTTTTATTATTGTTGGAGTTAGTGAGCCCGCCCAGGTCCTTGTGTAGCTGGGAGGGTAGTCACATTTTTTTTTTGGCTAAGATGTTAGTTCAATGTTAATTGTTAAATATTAGTTATGTTAGTCTAAAGGTACACTGTATGGAGAGGCC